GCAGGGACTGGGGCTGTTCCAGTGCTGGTCATTGGAGGATGGCTTCCAGCAGCTGGTGGCCAGCTACTGCCCAGAGGTGGTAGAGGACGAGCTGGCAGACCAAATAGACCGGGGTGGTAGCGTGCCTGTCATTATCAACACGTCACGTGTGAGCGCACCAGCCAGTGGCAAGGCCAGCTGGGGTGTCGACAAGTCCTACTGGAATGAGTTCCTGGTGATGTGTGTTCTATTTGGGCTTGCCGTAGTGCTTCTGACATTGTACTTCCTCTATCGGCACCGGGATGGCATGAAAGCCTTCCTGAAACAGGGAGAATGTGCCAGCGTGCACCCCAAGACCCGCCCAGTGGTGCTGCCTCCTGAGACCCGGCCACTCAATGGCGTAGGCCCTCCTAGCACCCCACTTGACCACCGAGGTTACCAGGCCCTGTCGGATATCTCTCCAGGGCCCCGGGTCTTCACCGAATCAGAGAAGCGGCCACTCAGCATCCAGGACAGCTTCGTGGAGGTGTCCCCTGTATGCCCCCGGCCCCGGGTGCGCCTTGGCTCTGAGATCCGAGACTCTGTGGTGTGAGAGCAGACTTCCAGAAGAGGCCAACAGGCTTCAGGGGCCAGAAGTGGTCAGAGGGGCCTGGCTTGACCTTCGTTCCTCATCAGACACAGCCACGGTGCCCAGACTTTGAGAGTAATGGAGCCAGCTGGCCTGCTGCTCTTCAGCAGGGGCCTCCTTCTACAGCCCAGACAGCCAAGGCCCTGGAGGTCCTGGTTTAAAATGGAGGCCTGCCCAGGTGGGCAGAACAGTGCTCCTTAGGCAAACTGAGCCTTTGTTTAAAACAACAATTGAAAATGTGAAATGAGTGACAGGGGTGAGAGACAACAAAGAATGCCACTCCTGTGACCATTCCAGTTCACAGGCTCCCTAACCTCACACTTCCTGAGAGCGCTGGGGACCCATCCTCAGTGGTTGTTGGAGACAGAGTGGGAACTCCCAGACCAACTTGCCTCCTCCACCTTCCGCCTTATCCTACTGCCAAGGCTCCCCTACTCAACTGAGAAGGGCCGGCTTGGGCTTCTTGGACATTCTTGGCATCCTGCCTTGCCAGCCAACGGAGGATATATTTGTTGCTGCCGTCATCCCACGACCTCAGGGACAAGAGTGCTAGGATGGCACCCTAGCCCTTGCCTTGCCCTGGGCTTGGACCCACGTCCTGGACCTTTCCAGCCTGTGTCAGGCTATGGCCACGCGTGAGTCCAGAAGCAGATTTACCCTTTCCCTCGGAGCTCAAGGAGAGACTGTTGCCTGCTTTTCTCCATTCCAACCTGAGGGACCCCTTTCTCTACATCCATCTAGCCCCATCTTCAGATGAAACACCAGGAAATGTGTCTTTTCTTCACTCTAGTCCCTAATTCACCCTGCTCACCTGGGCACTGCCACCACTCTAAGGGATATAGACACTGCCCAGCACAAAGACCCTGAATTTTTGTGGATTTTATATTTTTTTTTTAATAAGATGCACTTTACTTTTTTTTTTTTTTTATAATAAAATCTGAAGAATGGAAATTGTGGCCCTTCCTCTTAAAGGATTGATTTTTTTTTTCTTTAAATTTTATTTTGTTGTTGAGAATACAAACAGCAAAACATATACCAATTCAATGGTTTCTACATACAGAATTTTACAGATATATTCTTGAAGTTGTGCAACCATTTGCACCCTCCTTTTCTGCTTTTCTGAGTTATTCCCGCCTCATTAATATAAACTCCCTGCCCCCTAAGGTTCCTATCTAATCTGAGTTGCTGTTGTCAGTTTCACCCCACACAGATAATTCTTAAAAGAGCGTAATGCTGAAAGCAGACCTATTTCACTAGTTAAAACTGTTGTTTGGTTTTAAGAAGACTTCAGGGGATATTTTTGCTTTAAGGTTCAAAGATTATCTCAGGGCAGTAGTTTCAAGGGTTCATCCAGCTCCATGGCTCAAGAAAATCTAGAGTCCCTGAGAATTTGAAATTCTGTTTTACATTTTCTCCCTTTTGATGAGGACTCTTCTGTGTAATCTTTGATCAAGATGTTCTTAACGGCAGCCAGGCACCATCTAGTTTTTCTGGTCTCACGGCAAAGGGGGCAGTTGTTCACGGAGGCAATTAGTCACACATTCTATCTCCTCCTATTCCTGACTCTTCCCTCTTGCCCAGGTGAATATACCAATTGTGCCTTAGATGGCCAACTGCAGGCTTTTAAGACCCCAACACTACACAGTGAACTAGGAGGCAGAACAGAAGCACCAAATATATTAGGCCAGTTAACTGGGATTTCCCATGAAGCCATGACCCTAAATCTAAACCAAGGAACCAAATCCATGAGGTGTTTGTACATTAGCAGTCTCAGCAGCTACTCTTGTTCTCATTGTCGTAAATGTATCTATCACACAAGTTTTGCCAATTCAGTTTTTTACAGGTACGTAACTTTTTGATGACAATTGGCAATAAGCCGTGCAACTCTACCCTTAATGTGATTATTGCTTTTTGAGGTTAGTCTATTTCTTGAGTTCTGGGAGGTTCTGAGCTTAATCTTGCCAGAGATTAGTAAACCAGCGCCAGCCTAGCTAGACTACCTACACCTAACAATGGAGCCTGATTTTTAAATAGGGGATTTAACCCCTGATGGGATGAGGCAAGATGATTGTGGCAAGGTTGAAGACCAGGGGACTTGTTTGATTTACCTCAGTCCCTTTAGTCTACATCCCAGTTGAGCTCAGCAGGCAGCAGGGGTTGGGGCATAGGGGAAGTGTTTTCATTTGGTAAATTATTAAATTTTTTTACTTTCTAAAATTACCATATTTTAAATTGTCTTTTTCTTTGGAATACAGTTCTATAACACATAGAAACTCATGTTGCTACTTCCACAATGAGGATACAGAAGAGTTCTATCTCTCATGTTACCTTTCTAGGTTGTTGTTGTTACGTGCCGTCAAGTCGGACCCGACTCATAGCGACCCCTCCTTGGGTTTCCAAGGCAGTATCACTACGGAAGTAGATTGCCCCATCTTCCTTCCGAGGAGTGGCTGGTGGGTTTGAACCGCCAGCCTTCTGGTTAGCAGTCAAGTGTCTTAGCCACTATGCTATCAGAGCTCCTGTACCTTTCTACAGTCACACCCTTGTATGGGGTTGGGGATGGTTTGACCTCCTGCTGGCCGTTTGTGTGTGTGTGTGTGTGTGTGTGTGTGATTTGGGTGAAAGTTTACAGAGCAAATTCATTTTCCATGTAGCAGTTCATACACATTTTGTCTCATGACATTGACTGCAATGCCCCACAATGTGACAGCCTTCTTCTCACTTCCTCCCTGTCGTGACCTCTTACCTGTCCTTCCCTCCCACTCCCACCCCCCAGCTATCTCACTGCAAAAATACTGCCCTTCTGATCAATACAAGGAGTGTATCTACCTGATGTAAATGTTCACCCCATATGCCTAATTGTTTGGCTGGAAACTACAGGGGTGAGTTCAGTTCCAGACCTGAAGGGTGACTAGGGGCCATAGTCTTAGTGGTCTCACCAGGCTCTATCAGACCAGCAAACCTGGTCTTTTTTTTTTTTTTTTTTATGATTTTATTCACATTGTTCTCCTACTCTATCCAGGATCTCCTGCACTCTTGTTAACCTCTTAAAAAAAAAACAAAAACACCTAGTTACTGTAGTGTTGATTACTACTGCTGGCAAACCCACGTGTCAGTGTAGAATTGTGCTCTATAGGGTTTTTTGTTTTTTATTATTTTACTGTGTTTTTGGTGCAAGTTTACACAGCAAATTAGGTTCTTATTTTTTTTAACAATTTATGTATGTATTGTTCAGTGACACTAGTTACATTTTTTAGTGTCTTCTTATTTCCGTTCTAGTTCATTTCCATTAGTCTGGTTTCCCTGCCCCCTACCCCTTCCCTTCTCATCTTTTGTTTTAAAGTAACTGTTGACAATTTGGTCTCACATAGATTTTTTTTTTTTTTTAAAGGAGCATAGTACTCATGGGTGATGTTATTTCCTGAGCCAATTTTATTTAGCTGAAAGGCGACTTCCAGGAGTGGTTTATTCAGTTCAAAGTTTAATGCTTATCTCAGGGTGATAGTTTCAGGGGTTCCTCTAGTCTCAACTGGCCCAGTAAGTCTGACCATTTTAAAGTTTTGTTCCACATTTTCTTCCCATTCTATCCAGAACTATCTATTGTGTCCCTGGTCAGAATGGTCAGCAGTGGTAGCTGGACACCATCTAGTTCTGGTCTCAGGGTAGATAAGGCTGTGGTTCATGTAGATTATTCTATAAATAGTTCTGGTAGTACAGAGCTCTGGTGGTGTAGTGGTTAAGGCATTTGGCTGTTAACCAAAAGGTTAGTCGTTCAAACCCACCAGCCACTCCTCAGGACAAAGATGAGGCAATCTGCCTTCATAAAGATTTACAGCCTTGGAAACCCAATGAGAGTTGCTATGAGTCAGAATCGACTCAGTGGCAGTGAGTTTGAGACTAGTTCCCTCTTTGAGTTTTCTTCTTTCTCTTTTGCTCTCCATAGTGTTCTCAATGGCTGATTTTTCAGAAGTAGATCACCAGGCCTTTATTCCAAGGTACCTCTGGCTAGACTCAAACCACCAACCTTCCAGTTAGGAGTCGAGTGCTTAACCATTTGTATCACCCAGGCCCAATTCTTTAGATTCTACTTATTCTGAATATGACCAAAGGCTCCTAGAAGTCCAGTCTTCCCTCATACCAGTGTTTCTAGTGTCACACATAGGATCAAAACATCTAAACCTTTATTAATGATCAGTAGAAACAGAGCAATAACAATGGCAGTGAGAGGGAGAGGCCTTGATCTGGCGGGCCCTCCCCTACCCAGAGGCGAGACTGCGCTGAGCCAGCTTGGCCAACCCTGGCAACAGAGGTGTAACCTTGGCCACAGTTCAGCAGTGGAAAGGTTCTGAGTTCAGCAGTGACAGGGTGCTGAGATCACATGCCGTAGCTCCTGTCACAGGACAATCTTAAAGGAGCTGAATGAGAAAAGAATAGGTTGGGTTTTTTGCTGGAAAAGGGGGTAGGGGCTAAACCCCTCTCCCCTAAGACTCTTATTTGGAATGGGCTGTGTCCTGTGTCTCTATCAGTCCCCTCTGGAAGAAAAGCTACCCTGAGACATTCAGGAAGCAGGGAGCTTTCTCTCTCCCCAGGCACCCCCGCATAATAATGTCTCAGACCCAGGTGCAGCAGATGGGCCCCATAGGTAACCAGAATGCAGGGAACCACCATCATACCTGGCAAAATCTGGTGAACGGGAGATGACATGCTGGAACTCAGAGAGATTGATGGTCCCATCCCTATCAATGTCAGACTCTTCCAGGATCTATGTGGGAAAGTGAGAGCTTCAAGCCAAAGCCCCAACACTGCCTCCCGCTCCCAAGAGGCCTGAACCAGCACTCACATTGTCAATGAGCTGCTTCATCTCTGAGGCACTGAGCCGTGTGTCCTCACCCTCTCCCGTGAGGCAGTTCACAAGCTGCCTCAGGTCTTCTCTGTTCAAGGTTCCATCATCATCAAAGTCTGGAGAGCAGATACAGGAAGCCAAAAAGAATGTAGGCAGGACGAGCTCCAAGCCTCCTCAAATGGCCCCTATTTTCCAAGCCATATGCCTACAAATACCATGTGGGCAGGGATGGTGTTCCCCAGGCTCCTAGTCCTTACCAAAGATGCGGAAGGCATAGTGGGACTTGATGTCTGGGGTTGCTGTGTCGCTGAATACACTGAGGAGGTCCAGGAAATCCTCAAAGCTCAGGCTGTCTCTGGTTGGGGATGTGGAAAAGACCCTACAGATTCGCTCCTTGAAGGGGTTGGCCTATGCAAGAAAGCCTTCTATGAACACCACAGCCCAGGACAGGATGCAGCCCAGTGCACACATTCATCAAACCATACAGGGAACTCAGGTGAGCAGATCACAGTACCCACCCCACAGGACTCAGGCTTATGGGGGAGCATGACCAGAACATGGGTAGGCTGTGGAGAGAAAGGAGGGCCAACTGACTCAGCTGAGGAAGGGACAGGGACAGATTCCTGGGAGTCAGATCATAACCCTAAGACAGATCATACACAACTTTAGTGGCTGCAGGGAGGGAAGAGGAAAGCATCCTAATCAAAGGGAACAAGAACAAGATGAGCTGGTTATTTTTAAGTGCAAATATTTAATTTAATTGAACACCTATTGTTACAAGCACTGAGCAAAGTCCTTTGCATAATAATGTCATAGCACTCCTATGAAGTGACAATCAGCCTTTGGAACAGAGACTCTCATACTTTAAAAAAAATACCTCTTAACAGACAAAACTTGAACCAGTGAGAATATGTCCCAGAACCTCAGTGTGAGAAACACTAGATAATTCCACTGGATGATCTGGTAAAGCCCTTGACTCCAGGAAAATAAGGCTAACAGAGAACAAACCAGAATGGGGACCAATAACCTCATAATCTCAAAGGCAGTTACAGGAAAGAGGGAGTCTAGTAGAGGCAATGTGTGTGTGGAGGGGGTAGGGAGCTAGCACCTTGAGCTCTGGAAGGCTGAGGATCTGTTGGAAAGACACTCGTGTCTGCAGTGACTCCTCCACACTCCGATGATCCTGAGGAAGCAGCTCACAAAACCGCTTGTGGGCTCTGCCAGAGAGAGAACTCATCGGCACACTCAACCAATCATCCTTCCTATATATTTCATGTTCCCATTTCTTGCATTACTACCCATTACAGACCAGGTGAGGCACTGCCATCGAGCTGATTCAGATTCATAGTGACCTCCATTGGGTTTCCAAAGCGGTAAATCTTTACAGAAAGTAGCTTGCCCCATCTTCCTTCTGCAGAGTGGCCAATGGGTTTGAACTGCCAACCTTCTGGTTAGTAGTGAAATCCCTTAGGCACTACACCACCAGAGCTCAAACTCCTGAAAGTCATCAGGCAACAATAAGCCAAAAGGAGATACAGGCAGTCCCCAGGTTATGAATGTCTGACTAATGTACAACGCAATTACAAATCAACCCTGGTAAGGCCTGTTACATTAAAAATTCCAGATACATACAGGGAGCTCTGGTGGCATAGTACCTAAGGCATTTATTTGACTGCTAACCAGAAGACTGGTGGTTCAAACCCACTGATTTAATTAAGTTGAACACCTATTGTTACAAGCACTGAGCAAAGTCCTCTGCATAATGTCATAGCACTCCTATGAAGTGACCAGGCTCCTGGTCCTTCCTCAGAAGGAAGACTGGGAAATCTACTTTCGTAGAGATATCGCCTTGTAAACCCAAGGAGGGGTCCCAGTATGGTTTGCAGTAATAAACAGGTGCTACTTTGCCACTGCATCAAAACATTATTATTACTGTATATGTATAATGTTAAAGATGTTTTAGCATATCTGGAAGTGTTTCTTTAATGTGTTTAATGCATAGAAAAGTACATTATATACCAAGCAAATATTTGACTGACGTAAGAAAGATATGAATCGTACCCAACTGTTCCAACTTATGTACAAAGTTGACTTAAATGGAAATTGTTCATAATCTGGGCTTGCATGTATACCACAAGATGTACAGGCTGGGAGTCCATTTTCACAAAGAGTATTTATGGAAGGCCTGTGTGTGCCAGGCATTGTGCTGCACACTGGTTCTGGAGATCTGTGGGGGTGGAGAGGTTGAGGCAAGGAGCCAGAAGCTAGCCCTGATGAACAGAGGGGAAAGCACAGAACTGAAACCTCATTTTTACCCCAGGGATCTCTGGTTCCTCAAGATCTCCCTCTGTTTATCAGCTTCTATGAACCATCTGTTCCTTAGCGCTCCCCACCTTCCCACTAGGATTATTTTTTGTCAAAAGAAGCCCAGGAATCTCATTATTCAAGGGCCTTGGCCCACGTTAAAGCTGACAGGCTAGAGAAGGGAGTTCCAGCCCCAAGTCAAATCCGGAGTTTACTCTAAGCAAGTAACCAAACCTCTCTGAGTCTGTTTCACAGTCCCAATACTTCTTTCATTAGGATGGAATTAGGTAATGTAGACAACCATTTAGCACAGTTCCTGGCGCAAGGTAAGCGTTAACGGTTACAGCATTACTCAGGTGAAGTTGGAGCAAAGAGTCAGGCATCTCTGGTTTTGCCAGAGGACAAAGTCAGCCAAGAGCCACAGCAGCCCCTGCCGGCCTGGGGCAGGAAGTTCGGGAGTGATATGTAGAAGTCAGTGGTGGTGGTGGTTGTCTGCCGTGGTGTCGGACACGAATCATAGCGACCCCTTCTTGGGTTTCCGAGGCGGTATCACTATGGAAGTAGATTGCCCAACTTTCCTTCCGAGGAGTGGCTGGTGGGTTTGAACCGCCAGCCTTCTGGTTAGCAGTCAAGTGCCTTAGGCACTACGCTACCAGAGCTCCCAAGAAGTCAGTGGAGCAATCAAATAATGCCCCAGTTTTTCCTGGGTACTGTGCGGCTGCTCCACAGCACAAAGCCGGAGGCCCCGGTGCGGCCAGAGAGGGCGTGCCGGGAGAAGAGTACGACCCCGGGCGAGGGCTTGGAGCCCGGGAATCCAGTTCCGGCTCTGCGGCCGAACTCAGGCAACCCCCTGCCCCTCCCTCTGGGGACTCGAGTTCGCCATCTGTATAATAGTGCCGTCCAAACTGTCTCTAGAAGGACCCGAGGTCGGAGGCGGGGGTTCAAGGCAACACTTACAAGAGGATCTCTTGCTTAGTCAAGAACGTCAAGTCCTGGAAAGCAAAGTCAGAGAAGGGTCAACCGGATGCCCCGAGGCCGCGCTCACGCTGCCGCCCGCCCCGCTCTGAGACCTTGCTCCCAGGGCAGGGCTGCGCGCGAGTTTCCAGGGGACCGACAACCCGCGCACCTGATATTCCACCAGCAGCTCCTTAGAGAGGCGACTGCCCGAGCCCCCCATCGCCGCGCCGCGCACACCACTCAGTCAACTCGGCTCGGGACGCCGACAAGTTTCTCACTTCCGCCCTGAGGCCGCGTCACCGCCCCGTCCCCGCGGCAACAGCTCCAGGGGCCACCGTCCCGGGGCCCGCCCCCTTCTTAAAGTGCCCGGGGGCTCCCCACGGGGTTCAGCCTGCTACCTCCTGTCTCCCAGTGGTCCCCGCACGGCTGGAGGCAGGGCCGGGGGCGTGGCCGGACGCTCCGGGGCGGAGCCCAGGCCTCACGGCCCCGCCTCCGGGGCGGCCTGGCTGGGCCGCGCCTCGTGCGTGCACGCAAGCTGCGCGTGCGTTAGGTGCGTCGCGACCTCGCTATGGCCCCTGTAGTAGCTAAGGAGGAAGTGGGGCGGTTCGTCTGCCTCACCTGCTACAGACAGTGGCGGCTCCAGTCCTGGGCGGTGTCCAGTAAGGGGCATCTGGGAAGTTTCTGGAGCCAGGGTACCCGGAAATCTCGAGACTTGCTGAGTTGCCAGAGCAGTCGGCTGCCCATCTGCCCGGCGAAGGCTTTTCCAGACTTATCACTCAGCACTTGTCTCAGGTATTGCAGCCCCATGCCACCTCATCCAGGAGTAGCTATAACCTTGCGGTTGACTGAGGACCAACTGGATGCCAAGCACTGTGCGTAGTTATCATCGATTCTTAGAACAGCCCTGCAAGGTAGGTTTCCTCTTTACTTGTGTGGAAATACAGACGTCTAAGCTCGGGAATTTGGAAATGATCGCTCCAGTCCAAGGCTCCAGTCCTTTGCTCTCCACTACTACCCTCATTCCAGTTGAGGCGGTTTCTGACCCCACCCCACCCACACCCCAGGTTGCATGCTCCTGAGCGGTAGGGAACGAGGCTGGCTTGTTTGTTGTTGTCCTCTCTCAGTCCATTAGACGATTCTTGGCACGTAGTAGGCGCTCAGTAAATATCTGATGAATGAATGAAACTACAGTACTCCAAAAGATAATTCCAACCCGCGTGGTGGAGGTGGTAGTCTTTATTGTTTCTTCCCATTAATTCTCCTTGCTGATCTTTATAAAATCTAAACCTGAGCATATCAGTGTCAATTTAAAACCATTAAATGATTTAAAACCCAAATCCTGACCCTCTGTAACTTGTCTTAAGCTTCTCTCTCTGCCCTTTCCCCGTGGCTCTGTGTTTCAGCCACTTTGGGCTCTCATTTCTTTCTGGCCATGATCCACTCAGCCTCAGGATCTTTCCGCACCGTTTTCCTTTGCCTAGAATGTTTTCTCCCTAAGCCCCTTCCACCTCTTCCTTAACTCTTAGCCACTTGTAGTCATCCTTCAGTTCAAGCATCTTATCTTCAAGGAAGCCTTTCCTGACTCCCTAGACTAGATTAGAAATCTGTTTTACACTGGCAGAGTACTTAGTACTTCTTCTTGACAACATGCAAATTTTTTATTTACTTGGGTGATAATGAGTTTAATGTTTGTTTCCCCCACTAGACTGCAAGCCCCATGAGGAGCTATGAGAACCATTATTCCCCAGGACCTGATTTGTGCCAGTTGTTTACTAAATGTTTGTTTAGTGTCTTAGCTGTTGCCAGTACTCAATAATCAGGCAGTCATCTGAGAGTGACTCTATTCAGACTCATAATATCAACATATAATGAGTAAGTCCCACCATTGTATAAATATTCCACTCCAAGAAGTGGTAGGTTACAGAGCTATGGGAATAGGAATGCCAGTCAAGGTGACTGATGTACTTCTAGGATGATATAACCTGATCATTTGTCTCTGACAATAGGCTCTTTCTGTAGAAAAGGTTTGGTCTTCAGTTAGTAAAAGAAGAGGCAAAAAGCAAGAAGCTGTCACTGCCTATACTAGTCTGAGAGGGAGCGCTGGCCAGCCAACACCTGACCTTGTGGTAAATCTATATCAGTTCTTGGTGAAGATGGGAATTGACTTTGTGTCATGGTGACTAGCGTGAACTAGATCTTCCAGCTACCTCATTTGGCTCTGAATCCTTTTTGAACGAACAAAGAATTCTGGTTATAATTGTGCTTTCTGATAGTTTTTTATACAGAGGAGAGAATATACTGACCAGCCAATAAGAACATTTTGTACCTTTTGGCATGTTTTTCATCGCAAATTAATAAATAGGTGTTCTGTTCCGGATCATCCAGTAGTCCCTGGTGAATTTGGTTAGCATTTTGTCTATCCTGGAGCTCTGGTAGCGTAGTGTCTAAGGCACTTGACTGCTAACCAGAAGGCTAGTGGTTCAAACCCACCAGCCACTCCTCGGAAGGAAGATGGGGCAATCTACTTCCATAGTGATACTGCCTCTGAAACCCAAGGAGGGGTTGCTATGAGTCAGGTCTGACTTGACAGCACATAACAACAACAACAACAACATTGTCTGTCCTTTCCTTGCCTGATCAACACTTCATACAGTGATCAAACCAAGTTACTGTTACACTTCTTAAAAATAGCTTCTGGTGCTGTTGGTTTAAATCTTTTGTTCCTTGGTTCAATTTTTCAAAGGGTTGATATCAGTTATATTTCTGTCAGAGTACCCACTTTGGGGTTTATGAATTAATTCCACTTTTTTTCTTATTTTCCTCCTTGTAATACTGTGATTTCTTTCTTCCTGTTATCTTTGGGATGTTAGACAGCATGGTCACACAGGTCTCTCTGAGGAGGTGACATTTTATCTGAGACCTGAAGGAGCAAACCTGGGGAAAGGGCATTTTAGGCAGAAAGAACAGAAAGCCGTAAGACTCTGAGCAGGAATAAGCTTAGTAAGAATGAGGAGGGGAAAAAAAAAAAAAAACACTGCAAGTCAACTCCAACCCCTGCTTGGGTTTCCAAGGCAGCCCAATCTGCCTTCCAAGGAGTGGCTGGTGGGTTTGAGCTGCCAGCCTTTTGGTTAGTAGTTAGATGCCTTAGGCACTATGCCACCAGAGCTCCTGGAACGAGGAGTAGCAGACAACTCTTTTCTCTAAGAGCAGGACAGTTCTTATTTATCCTTTACTTGCTAAATTGACTTGCAAAGTTACCTATTGTGTTTGCAATTTTTTTTTCCCATGAAGGTTAATGGCTATCTCACAATGTCCTCCCAATGTTACTAGCTTGTTTCCCCTGAGTTTCAGACTGTACTGACGCTAACTGACCCACTTAGTACATTTGTTCTTAAAGCATGACTTTACAAAAAAAAAAAAAAAGAGAGAAGCTGAGTGGACAAGAGGGAGAGTAGTATGAGATGAGGTGAGAGAGGGAGACACAGCTAGGCCACAGTAAGGGATTGGACTTTATTACAGGGACTAAAGGTCACATAGGAGCTCTGGTGGTGATGTGGTTAAAGCACAGGGCTGCTAACCAGAAAGTCAGTGGTTCAAACCCACCAGCCTTCTGCAGGAGAAAGATGAGGCAGTCTGCTTCTGTAAATATTTATAGCCTTGGAAACCCTATGGGCAGTTCTACTCTGTCCTGTAGGGTCACTGTGAGTTGGAATCAACTCAATAGTGGTGGGTTTTAAAGGTCACATAGCTAGTGAATGGTGGTGGTTGTTAGTTTCCATGGAGTCAGCCCCTGACTCATGGTGACCCCACGTAGAGTAGAATAAAATGCTGCCTTGTCTGTTGATTGCCATGATTGGGTACAGATCAGACCACTGTAATCCCCAGGGTTTTCATTGGCTGGTTTTTAGAAGTAGATCATCAGGTCTTTCTTCCTAGTTTGTCTTAGTCTGGAAGCTCCAGCAGGTCAGCATCACAGCAACACACAAGCTCCACTGACAGACAGGTGGTAACTATGCATGGGTTGCATTAGGGAGGCAAGGTCTTCCACACGAAAGGAGAGAATTTCAGCACTGAACCACCTGGGCCCCCTAGTGAATGGCAGAGCCAGAATTCAAACAATAACTTGTCAGCCTCTAAAGCCTAATATCTCTCCATTCTCTACGAATGATGTTACTCACCTCATAGGCTAATCTTTTTCTTTTAAACATTTCATTGTGCTTTAGGTGAAAGTTAGCAAAGCAAATTAATTTCCCATCCAATAGTTTACATACACATTGTTTTGTGACATTGATTGCAGTCCCCACAATGTATCATCGCTCTCCCCCTTTCCATACTCGTTTCCCTGTTTCCATTCATTCAGTTTTTCCACCCCTTCTTGCCTTCTTATTTTTGCTTTTGAGCAAGTGTTGCCCACTTGGTCTCGAAAACTTGATGGTTCTAAGGATATATTTCTCATGGGTATTATTTTTTTATAGACCTGTCTAATGTTTGGTCAAAAGGTGAACTTCAGGAGTGGCTTTAGTTCTGAGTTTAGAAGTCTAAGGGCCATAGTCTGTGGGATTCCTCTAGTCTCTGCCAGACCAGTAAGTCTAGTCATTTTTGTGAATTTGAATTTTGTTCTAAATTTCTCTCCTGCTCTGCCTGGGACTGTCTATTGTGATCCTAGTCAGAGCGGTCAGTGGTGTTAGCTGAGCACCTTCTAGTTCTTCTGGCTAGTAGAGGCTGTGCTACATGTGGTGCATTAGTTCTTTGGACTAATTGCTTCCTTGTCTCTTTGGTTGTCTTCATTCTCCTTTATTCCATATAAGATGAGAATAATAGTTGTATCTTAGATGGCCACTCACAAGCTTTTTTTTTTTTTAGTTTTTATTGTGATTTGTGTGAAAGTTTATAGAGCAAATTCATTTTCCAAACAGCAGGTGATACACATTTTATTTCATGACATAACTACAATTCCCCACAATGTAACAATTCTCTTCCCACTTCCTCTCTGTAATTACTTCTTCCCTGTGTCCTCCTTTCCTATGCATTCCTGCCCCCTGAGCTATCTCCCTGTGCAAACTGTGCCCTTCTGCTCTCCCATGATTAATTGCTCTAAGGAGTGTATCTACCTGATGTAAATGTTCACCCTATATGCCTGTCTGTTGTTTGGCTGGAAGCCTTAGATTCAGTTCCAGACCTGAAGGTCTTAGTCTCAGGTCTCACCAGACTCTATCAGACCAGTAAACCTGGTCTTTCTTTTAATGATTTTGAGTTCTGTTCCACATTTTTCTCCTACTCTGTCCAGGATCTCCTGTATTGATTCCTTTTTGAGTGGTTGACAGTGGTAACCAGGCACCATCTAGTTCTTCTGGTCTCATGGTCATATAGGCTGAGGT